CATCCATAAAGAATGGCCTCAGAAGAGGCCTAGTGAGGAGTCACAAGTTTTACCACTGTCCACGCTTAGGAGGCCATCTCCCCCAGACACACTCATGGTGTCCGTGGAGGCCTCGTGGGAGCGATAGGCGGCACTCCCACCTCCCCAGCCCGGTGGCATCAGCAGAGCCCTGGTGCAGAGCTGAAAAAAAATTCTAAACTCCCGCAAAAGCATCTCCAGGCCTATCACTGGAGAATTCAAAAAACTGTGTAAAAAAGGTTGTGTATTAATTCTATGTAGAGTCTCTTTCAGAAAACTGAAGAGGAAAGAACACTTTCCAATTGATTTATGAAGCTACCATATTTTTATCCGATACCAAGTTAGACAAAGGCAGGAGAAAGAGAGCAAGAGAGAGAAAAAAAAAACCTACATGCCAATATCCCCTATAAATATAGGCAGAAAAATCCTTAATAAAATATTACCAAGTGGAATTTAGCAATATATCAAAAGAGTTATACACCATGACTATGTGGGGTCTATCTAGGGATGTAAGTCTGGCTCTATATTTGAAAACTATTAATATAATCCATATTAACGGGAAAAAAATCACACGACCATCTCAATCAATGTAGAAAAACATTTGACAAAATTCAACACCCATTAATGATTTTTAAAATTCTCTGAAAACTAGAAAAGAGGGGGAGCTGCCTCGCCTTGGTAAAGAACATCTATAGAAACCTACAACTAGCATTCTACTTAATGGTGAAAGGCTGAATATCTTCCCTCAAGATCAGGAACAAGGCAAGGATGTCCAGTCACCAATCTTATTCAACATTGTGCAGGAAGTTCTTGTCAGTGCAATAAGGCAAGAAAGGAACTAAAACATATACAGATCAGAAGGAAGAAATAAAACTTCCCCTATTTGTAGATGATATGATTATTTGTGTAGGAAATCCCAAGGAATCTACCAAAAAAAGTCCTAGAACTAATAAGTGAGTTCAGCAAAGTCATAAGATAGTGATACAAATATTAACTGTGTTTCTATGTGCTAACAATGAACACATGAATAGTGAAATTAAAAATATAATACCAAAAAAATATATATTCATATAATACCAGCCCTAGCCGGTGTGGCTCAGTGATTTGAGCGTTAGCTGCGCACCCAAAGATTCTGGGGTTTGATTCCTGGTCAAAGGCACGTACCTGGATTGCAGGTTCGATCCCCTAACCCTCGTCGGGGCTCATGTCGGAGGCAATCAATTGATGTGGCTCTCTCACATTGATGTTTCTCTCTCTCTCTCCTTTTTTCCCCCTTTCCCTCCCTTCCATTCTCTCTACAAAGCAATGAAAAAATGTAAAACTATACAATTTTAGGGAAAAAAAATAGGAGGAAATCTTCACAATTTGGTGGTAGGCAAATAGTTCCTCAGGTGAGGATTAACAACAATAACAAAAAATGCAATACCATTTATAATCATTCAAAAAATATAAGTCACTTGGGTGTAAATCTCTCAAAACTTGTATAGGTTTTGTTCGCCAAAAATTACAAAGTGCTCATGAAATAAATCAAAGGAAGTCGACACAGATAGAGAGACATATCACATTCAAAGTTTTGGAGAAAACATAGTAAAAATGTCAATTGTACCCAAATTGGTATACAGGTTCTTATCAAAACCCCAGCAAGCGTATTTGTAGATATAGACAAGATTATTCTAAAATTTATATGGAAAGGCAAAGGAATTCGACCTAAAACTGTTGAAAATGAAATGGGAAGAATCAGTCTACCTGATTTTAAGATTTATGCTATACTACAAGAATAAAGTCTACGTGATATTGCAGAGGGATAGGTCAATGGAAAGAATAGAGAATCTAGAAACAGACCCAGACAAATACACCCGACCGATTTCTGACAAAGGTGCAAAAGTAACTCTGGAGGAAAATCACCTTTTCAACAAATGCTGCCGCCACAAGTGGATATCTGTAAGCCAAAAAAAGAGCCTCGATCTAAGTCTCCCGCCCTACACAAAATTAACTCAAAATGGGCCACAAACTTATAAAATGTAAAATTATACAATTTTAGGAAACATAGGAGAAAGTCTTCACAATTTGGTGGTAGGCAAATAGCTCTCTTAGATTTGACATCAAAAGCTAAACATAAAAGAAAATATTGATAAACTGGACATTACCAAAATAAAAAACTTTTGCTCTTCAAAAGACATTTAAAGAGAATGACAAAACAAGCTACATACTAGTGTTGGGAGAAAATATTTGCAAACCACATATTTCAAAAAGGATTAGTATCTAGGAGATGTAATGAACTTCCAAAACCAAAAGTCAAAAACCAAATAATCCAATTAGAAAATGGTCAAGCAACATAAACTGACATTTCATCTACAAGCATATACAGATGGTGAATATATACATGGAAAGATGTTCCATAGTGTCAGCCGTAGAGACATGCAAGCTAAAACCACAACGAAATATCACTCCACACCTATGGGAATGGCTAAAATAAAAGATAGTCACAAGATCAAATTCTGGTGAGGATGCAGAGAAATTGGATCACTCATACACTTATACCGATATAAATGTAAAATGGTACAGCCACTCTGAAAAACAGTTTGGCAGTTTCTTAAAATAAAAATTAAACATGCAACCATCATGACTCAGCAATTGTGTATTTATCCTAGGAAAATGAAAACCTATGGTCACACAAAAACATGTACATGCCTGTTCATAGAAGCTTTGAATAGCCCAAACTGGACACACCTAGCTGTCATTCAACAGTGAATGGTTAAAGAAGTTGTGGTGTGGCCCTACCATGAATTACTCCTCATCAAGAAAAAGGAACCATCTAATTGAAATGTGCAACAGCTAATGAATCTCCAGAAAATGATTCTGAGTGAAAAAGCCAGTCTCAAAAGGTTATAGACTAGATTTCATTTATACAACAGTCTTGAACTGACAGAATTTAAAAGTTGGTAAACATATCTGTGGTTGCCATCAGTTACAGAGAGGGTAGGGGCAGGAGGTCAGTATGTGTGCCTCTAAAAGTGGAACATGAGGGATCTTTGTGGTGATGAAATATTCTGTATCTTGACTATATCAGTATCAAAATCCTGGCTGTGATATTGTTCCTACTGGGGAAAACTGGGTGGTGGTTCCCTGTATTATAAGTTTAATTTAAAATAAACATAAAGCCCAGCCGGTGTGGCTCAGTGGTTGAGCATGGACCCATGAACCAGGAGGTCACAGTTCAATTCTCAGTTAGGGGCCAGGGTTTTGGCCTCAATCCCCAGTAGGGGATGTGCAGGAGGCAGCCGATCAATGATTCTCTCTCATCATTGATATTTCTATCCCTTTTTCCCTCTCCCCTCCTCTCTCTGAAATCTATCTACCTACCTACCTACCACCTATCTACTTATAGGGACACACATTTTTCTTTTCGCCTTGGGCTCCACTATGGCTCTGCACAGCACGGTCTGGCATCGACAGGCTTTCTCTCTTGGCTCTTCTCGACTTGCCCAGCACAGAATTGGGGTATGCGGTCTGACTGCAGAACAGATTATTTGAAGACAGAATTCTAAATACCTCCCGCTTCTCCGTTACTACTCCCGATCATTCTGCTAGGACCTGGCCCTTTATAGAGGCCCATGGACCCTTTCTCTAGGTCAGTGATGGCAAACCTTTTGAGCTTGGCGTGTCAGCATTTTGAAAAACCCTAACTTAACTCTGGTGCCGTGTCACATATAGAAATTTTTTGATATTTGCAACCATAGTAAAACAAAGACATATTTTTTATATTTATTTTATATAATAAAATGCCATTTAACAAAGAAAAATCAACCAAAAAAATGAGTTCGTGTGTCACCTCTGACACATGTGTCATAGGTTCACCATCACTGCTCTAGGTAGTGCATCTAAGTCAGGTGCCAGGACAACTTCTGTCACAATCACTCAGGATGCTTCCCTCAATGCCTATTTGTGAGCCTAAAGGATTATAATTTTAACTAGATTCCTAAATGAATGCTAATGCACACGAAAGTTAGGGCTCAGCTTTGTCTGAAGTCAAGATTTTCTGGGGAGGCACAAGAGTTCCCACACTGGGATGTTTTCTGAAAGGACTTTCTGGAAGGGAAGGGAATGAGTGGGGACCCCTGGGCCTGCCCTGGATCCCGCTAGAAGGAGGACACAGAACCACCTCCCCACCCACCAACCCTTTGCTGCCATTGGCTGGGAGCTCACCGCAGTGTTGGGCTCAATGAGGCGGAGCTGTAGCTTCTGGGCATCTTCCCATTGCCCTGTGAGGCAGAGTCGCTCCAGCTGGCACACCTGAGCCCCCAGGACATTGGCCAGGGCACACACGCCCCCCACAGCTCCTGCCCGGGGTAGGATGCAGAACATCAGCCAGAGCCCCTTCTCACAGAGAATTCCATACCCCGGTCCAGTACGTCTTTGTGAGGAGCTAGGGATGTGGATTTCTATGCCACTGGTCGGCCATGTCAAAGGCACGCGCCATGAGTCCACAGAGCACAGAGATAGCTGCCAGCACAGTCGGTGAGTAGAGCCCGCAGGTCAGGGAGCAGAGCTTGGAGGCTAATTCAAGGCAGTTCCTTCCCTGCTCTCCTTTCCCCTCCCCCGCAAAAAAGTAAAGTTCCCCCTGCCTCTTGGCACCTCTACACTCCTCTACAGGCTGCCTGACTTGCCAGTCCTGGAAGGGGTGAGGTGAATGGGAAGTCTTTGCTCTATTTGCTCTTCTGAAACCTTACCCTGCCCCGCCCCGCCCCCACCTCCCATCCTGAATTCAGCTTGGAACAGGGGTGGGGTGGGGTGGGGGAGTGGGAAGTGCTCTGGACACAGGACACCGGGCATTTCCTCCCAGTGGCTGCATAAACCTGGACAAGGCATAGACCCTCTGGTCCTCTTGGTTCTCACTGGGGCAGGAAAACGGGCTGGCGGCCATCGCAGGGGCCCTGCCACTCCTGCCAGCCTGTGAGTGTGACGCTAAGGCTAATGAGGAGAGGCCCTAAGCAGAGGGGCTTGGACACGAGAGAGAGTAGGCAACTGTCAATAAGTTTATACAGCTGCCACTTATTGAATCCCTGTCATGTGCCAAGCACGGTGGCAGACATAGGGCCGGTGCTCTCTAACTCTCACACCTCCCCGCTTTACAGAATAGAAACTCAAACCCAGCGAAGCTGACTACCTCGCCCGCTGACACTCGGTGAGTGAACAGCAGAGCTGAGATTCCAGCTCAGACCCGGGCCTCCAGATCCTTTTCCATCTACCCCATCCTCAGGAAAAAGGCAGAACTGAGTCCCCTTCTTCCCTGTACTTTAAAGACATGGAGAGGGATGTGCAAGGACGTAGACAGTGAGCCAAAGTCTGCATAAACCAGAGAGAATAGGACCCAGCAGCTTTGGAAAAGTAACTTAAATCTGTGTCAGCTGAAGGGGCAAACGCCCCCTTCCCCCATCCGGCACCCTCCTCGGGCTCAAAACCCAAGCACCTTGACCCCAGACAGACAAGAACAGTTGGTCTAATGGTGACATTCCTAGGATCCTGGACTGGGACAGAATCTGATCGGGCAGCTGAAGATCCCTGCCCAGCCCTGCAGGTCTGACCATTCTAGCCTGGAACCAGAGGAAGAGGAAAGTCAACTGCGGACTCAAGGGGAGGGCCCCAAGGCCTCTGTGAGATTAAGGAGCTAAATTTGCCACCTAAGCACGGAGCTTGGGATTAGAGCAAACTGCAAGCATTCCAACGATAGGCCAGGGTTTATGCACGGCCACCCTCCTCCGTCCAGCAAGGTCACTCACAGCACCCAGTGTCCAGACAAGCAAGCAGTGTGCTCAGCTTCTGAGGTTACAGAGCAGGCAAGCTGGCAAAGGCCCTCTGCAGACCCAGTCCTTCCAGCAGACCCCCAGCTTCCTGGGTGTGCCTGGGTCACCCTCACAGTGTGAGAGCAGCGGGAGGCCTACCCACGGCATAGCTGGCCAGCAGGAAGCCGGCCGATCCGGCCAACACCTGGAAATCCTGCCTCCTGGTCTTGTGAATCATCAGCCCGATTCTGGTCACCTGCAACAGCAAAGCTGGTGTGAGTGGGGCCCAGAGCCGCAGGCTAGCCTGGGGGGTGGGGCAGGGCTGGGCCCGTGTGGGGGAATGAGAGCCTCCCCTCCCCCGCCCCACTCTGAAGATCCCACAGGACAGAAAAGGCCCAAACTGAAGCTGGTCCCAGAACTGCCCTGAAGGTGGTAGCAAAAGAGAAGTGGATGGTGCCCACAGCCAGGAGCTGCTGCCACTCACATCACCACCGCTGTCCTTGATGCCAATGATATTCGGGTGCTGGGAGAGCGTGACCACCGTGTCCACAGGCAGGTCTAGCCCCGTGTTGGCTGGGACATTGTACAGCACCACAGGAATTGGAGAGAGGTCAGCGACCTGAGGGGCGCAGAGGAGAGGGGAGAGGGCAGCTGCCCAAGCCCAACAGGTCCGGGCCAGGGCGCCCGGGACAGGCCCACCTCCTGGACCAGAAGTCACAGTGCCACTTTGCCCTGCTTGAGAGCAGTAACAGTGGGTAGTAATTAGTGAGTGCTTTCTATGTGCAAGCACCGTCCCAAGTGCTTTATGTTTTGATGTAATTTAGTCTTCACAACACTGTGAAGAAGTACCTTTATTCCTCCTGTTTGAGAAGGAAGGGAACAGAGACAGCATGGTTAGGCAGTCACACAATGTCACACAGCTGGCACATGGCGGCATTTCTCCCCTTCCCAGAGCTGCCGTTCATGGGACGTAGGCTCACCATTCTGTTCCCAGCTTCTCGGTCTCCTTTTCTCAGGCAGTGTCCCCCTCATTCAGCTTCCTCTTGGTCCCAGCTCTCACCCCCATGCCCACCCCTCGCACCCACCTTGGTGTAGTGGTGAATGAGGGCAGCGCTGCTCATGCGGCCACGATAGTAGCAAGGAGTCAACACCATGGCGACGTCAGCCCCGACCTGGGCCATGCTCACGGTCATCTCCACCGTGGCCTGAGTAGCTGCAGGAGGAAAGAGGGAGTCTTCCTATCGGCCATGCAGGGTGAGAGCAGGAGGAGGAAGAGGGCTGGGCTAGGACCCTGGGGCAAGCAAGGGGTGCAGAAGAGACAAACAAGTAGGCTGAACCCAGCCCCTGGGCCAAGGAGCCGGGCCACCCACCCCCAGGGACTCCCGGGGCCCAGGGCATTATGGCCTCACACTCGCAGCCAGAGCCAGCTACCAGGAGCTTGTCCTTGGGCATGGCCTGGCGCACGCGGCTCACCACCTCCAGGCGCTCACTGCTGGTCAGGAAGGGGAATTCGCCATTGGAGCCCTGGATCACAAAGCCTGCGGGGAGACCGCATCACATCAATAGACACCTCCCCATCCTCGTATGAACAGCAGGGACATTGCTGTTACACGCGCCCAGGTTCCTACTTCCCGGAAACCAAGCTTTTCACACATTTCCTTCCCATCTTTGTTCTGATGCAGCCAGAATGTTTTAAACAGCTGCAATAACCGTGTTCACACCATTTTTCTTTGTTTTAATGAACTGTTTTAGCCGTACCCCAAAGAATAGATAATAACATAACCCACATATGTGTATTCAGTACCCATGGCAACCCTCCCCTGGTCACCTTCCTCTTCCTCCTCTTGCTGTCCTGACTCAGGTGTTATTGTTCCCATTCATGTCTTTCTACCCTTCAGGCATATATTTGGACAAATAAACAAGATATAATATGGATTTTGACATTTTAAACTTTATAGAATAAAACCAGACTTATCTGCATCTTCCGCAGTTTGCTATTTTTTGTCCAACATTGTGTCCGTAGCAGGACATGTAGCTATGATTCAGTCATATTCATTATCCTATATAATAAAAGCCCAGCGACCAAACAGCAGAATGACCAGAATGGTCAACCAGTCACTATGATGTGCACTGACCACCAGGGGCAGACGCTCAATGCAGGAGCTGCCCCCTGGTGGTCAGTGTGCTCCCACAGCAGGAGCAGAGACTCAGAGGGTGGGTCCACAGCCGCTCCGCTGACTGGGATGAGCGGTGCTTCCACAGCAGCCGATCCCCGCAGGCCATGCTCCCCACCAGTGCCCGAATCCCATGCACCAGGTCTCTAGTCATATAATATTCTATTGTGTGCTTAGACCACAATTTACTTTTTTAAAAATTAATTTTGAGCGAAAGACATTGATTTGTTGTTTCACTTATGCATTCATTGATTGATTCTTGTATGTGATCAGGAATTGAACCCACACCCTTGGCATATCAGGATGATGCTCTAACCAACTGAGCTACCTGGGTAGACCCCACAATTTACTTTCCATTCTCCCTTTGAGGACAGTTTCAATTTTAATTTTAATATTTTGTTAACCCTCACCTGAGGATATTTTCCATTGACTTTTTCTTAGAGAGAGTGAAAAGGTGGAGAAGAGACAGAGAGAGAACCTGGGACCAACCCTTCAGCCCACAAGCCGACACTCTATCCACTGAGCCAAACTGGCTAGGGTCCTTCGGACATTGAGAACGTGTCCTTATTTTTGCTAGCATAGCTAAAGCAAACATTTTCTGGAAAGTCTCCCGTGCCCATGCCTAAGGGATTCCCTACAGTCGACTTAGGTGTGTAATTAACAAATTGCACAGCTGCACGTGCCACGCTCTCTGATTATCCAGGTCACGCCCATCAGCACAAAGAAGAGTCTGTCAGTCCTCGTCCAGGCCAACACGGGGCTGTCAGCACGATCTTTTGCCAATTTTCTAGGTTAAAGGTGACATCTCATTCTTGTCTTTTTCGTGTTCCTGTTTTATCAATCACTGGAATGGTTCCTAACATTTCCAGCTAAAGGTGTCCACCCTTTTACATCCACAAGAGGCCAGCAGAACTGCTGCTATTCGGCTAAATCTGAAAGGAATGTATCAGAACCATTTCCTTCCCCCACCCCCATCCCCTTTTTTTTAACTTTCTCTTTCCTCTTCTTTCTCCTCTCTACTCCATTCCATTCCAAAAACATTTTTCTTCCATAGCTGAGAAACACAGCATAAAATACAACAAGATTATTAGCAAATGCAAGTGTTTGGGAGAAAGGAAGGAAAACAAAGCCAGGAACGATATTGATTTCCAAACCCCTGTCACACACTTGTGAGCGATGAATTTGATTTGGAGCTTCCCAACTGTCAGAGCTAAAAGGGAAACATGGTCAGCTGACAGGCATGTAGAACTCAAGATCAAAGCCAGGCGGCCGCCCTGGAGAAACACAGGGTTTCCTGGCACTGGGACCAAGAGAGAGTGTTCCCGTGAGTCATCCATCCTTCAAGGGACACAGCGTGATCTGGAGGCCGTTACACCACAAACCTTTCCCTGCTGCTCGCTACACCGTTAGAGCCCACTCTGCAAGCTGCCAGGCTAGCTCACCGGGTCCTTAGCGGCCTTCTTCTTTTCAGGTTTTTGCCTCGCTAACCTTACGGGGACCATCTGGAGGCATACAGCTTTGGGCGTCTGTTGCGTTGCCTCCTGAGGAGCCGCTCCTCCGCGTCAGGCTGGAAGCCGATGGTCAGAGCCTCTTGCTACACAAGGCCCCGTGCTTTCCTGGGTGGCCATCCCCATTTGTAGAGCTGCCAACCCTGGAGGAAGGCTCCAGTCCAGTCGGGATTGGACCAGCACCCTCTGATTTAGAGAGCAAACACTTAGAGATGAAGTCTTGGTTACTCCCTCTATTCAAATGGAAGAATATCTCCCTCCCCAACCGTGCCTGCCACCCTTCCTCGAAGGGGGCCGAGGTGGGGTCTTTCTCCAGCTACTTCTTCAGCCATAGCCACTCACGCCCAAGTCCCCCTTCATTTTGGTGGTCAGTTCCTCAACAGCTCCTCAGTTCCTCACTGGCGGACCTGCCTCAACAGCAGTGGTCAGAGAGACCCACTCTGAGGGTAAAGAGGACCCTCACTCCTAGGGGCCCGCTTGGCATGGCTAAGTGGTTGAGCATCGACCCATTAAACAGGAGGTCACAGTTCAATTCCTGGTCAGGGCACATACCTGGATTGCAGGCTCGATCCCCAGTAGAGGGTGTGCAGGAGGCAGCCAACATCACCAATGTTTCTCTCTCCCCCTTTCCCCTCCTCT